CTCTTCTCCTCTCCAGTCCTGTCCCTGCCCCCCATTGGCCAAACCTGACCATGTAGCAGTTGGCAGAGATTCCACAGGACAGGAACTGGATCTACAGGCAGAGGCAAATAGCCACCCAAGCTTCCCCTCCTTCTGGTGAACATGGATGACTGGGCCATAGTGCCCACTGGTCTCTGGGGAGGGAATGATCGGATGACCACTCTTCTAGAATTGCATCAGTGAGCATCTGGGTGTGTGGATTGCTTCAGCCTCTTAAGGCCAGAAAGAAAAAGGATGAAGGAGTAGTGAGATAGCTCACTGGACTAAGCTTAGACAAGTTCAGGGACCACATGCCGTGCAGGGCCCACTGCCTGGGTGTGCTGAGCTGGCGCTTGCCTATAATCCCAGCACTGGGGAGGCTGAAAACTACATTTAAAAAAAAAAAGAAGAAGAAGGATGGACTTGGGATCAATGGTCCTATGGAGATTCACAGGCTCTTTGGAGCACCCCAAGAAGCAGCCCCTGGGGCTCCCACACTGAGGCCAGGTGCAGACCGTGGTGAGCCCCCAGAGCTGCGGTGCCAGCTGAGGACTGGTGGTGTGTCCCTCCATCCCTCCCCTGAACTCAGAGATTTGTTACTTATTGAACAACCTTCTGCTTCCATCCTCGGAGGATGACAGAAACCCACAAGTAAGTATGCTCTACAATGACAAGACAATGCTGTTGTGTGCAGGCAACACACCATGTTTTGACCTAGAGGGTAAAAAGCTTCAGTGAGCGAGGACAGAAGCGAACAAGGTCAGGCCTTTCACACAGTGGTGCCATTGGGAGCGTGTGCAGTAAGGACGTAAGGGGCCTTATGCAAGCCCTAGCTGTAGTCCCCCTTGCAAAGTTTCTCTCTCTGCCATTCTTTCTCGAGAACTCATGGGATTCTTAAGAGCTATATTTAGGGACATTGTACGAAATACCTTTTGACCCACATGGCATAAGCAGAGTTGTCAAAAGCTGCCATGCCCTTGAGAACCACCCTGCCTGCCCAGAGCCCTTGAGCTGAGTGTCCCTAGGGGACTTGTTGGTGCACAAATGGGCAATAACTGAGCGTGGGAGAAAGTGCTAAAGGACAGAGGGGGACACTGCAAGGTTATGAGGACCTTCCACAAGGAATATAGCTTCTGCTGGTGGTGCCTGTGCCTCTCCAATGGGGCTTGGGGGCCCAGGGTTCTAAGCTTGTGTACGCCCGAAAATCAGGGTTGCTGTCTGCCACTCTGCTGTCCAAATGCTGCCCACGCCGGGGCACAGGAAGCACATAAATGTTTTCTCTTGGAGTTTTGTTAAAAGCCTTAACTAGCAATGCTAGACAGAGCCCACAATGAGATGTCATCCAAAAGAGGGCCTGGGGTGGGGGAGCCACAGGCTCAGACATTCCTGTCGTGTAACTTGGAGCCAGGCTTGCGCTGCAGTGCAGAACTGTGGGGCCGGCATAATTACCAGGAAAGTTATTACTAGGATTCATTTGTATCCATTCATTTTGCACCACTACATGGGTAAGAGAGAGGTCAAAAAGAAGTCGTGAGCCATGTTCGCGGCACTGTGGGGTGCAGTGGCCCAGGGTTAATGGGTCTGTTGGCCCACAGTTGAGCCAACACACAGAAACCTTTAGTCAAATTCTGCAACCTGGGGAGCCCAGATATTGCACCGACTGAGAGGCAAGGCCAGATCACTAGAACAAAAGTCAAACAAGACTCCCCATAAAACAATTATGGAGCAGCTGTTGGCAGAAGCAAAGGGTGCATTCGCAGCCAAGGCTGCGTACATGGCTGCTGTCCTTGGTCAGAAAGCAGAGCGTGACATCTGGGACTACCTCTTTTTTACTTAGCACTGCCTGGTGCTGCATGGTCTCCCCATACCCTGCTGGCTACACCTGGCTCTCTGGGGAACCTGTCACTCTGGGGGTGTGCAATTAGGCACACAGAGCTGGTCAGGACCCTCTAGAGAGAAGATATGAATAGCAAATCTGTCCCTGGGGAAAACGTTGCTACCAAGCTCGCCTTCACCTTAAGCCAAAATTCTTGTGGGATTTCACCATCAGACTGCTTGTGATTGACTGACATAGATAAACGATCACTTGGAACACGGAGGCAGGATGTACCTAGCACAAGTGTCCCAGAGAATTGAAATGGACCCATGGAGGGGCAGTGAGGAGATATGGGGGAGCAAGGCTGGGTCCCCGTTCATCCGGGACCTTTGGCTCCTCCTCCCTCAGGGATCTGTATTAACAGCTCCACTTGCAGCCGGGAGCAAAAGCTATTATGACGCTATGCAGCTGGTTCCAAGCTGAAGGGACAATGAAAACAGGAGTAGGACTTTGCTTTGGCTGTCACGATTACACAACCCGGCCTGGCATGGTGTCTGGTGAGCTATCACAGCATTGACAAAGGACCCTGAGTCCAGACTCATTGTCTCTGAGCATGCTTTTTGCACAAAGCCCAGTGAGTGTCCTGAATACCTGGGCCCCACATCTCCTCAGATGTGTCACAGGCGTGGGGATCAGGGCAGCAGAGAAACTCTGTAGTTTATCTGCAGTCACCCTGGAGGTGTTTGCCACAGATCCTTGTGCAAAACTCTTAAAAGAGGAGGTGGCCACAGTTTTGTTTCTCTGGAAGCTCAGCAATGAGGACTGACGTGCAACAGGAGTGAAGGGAGCACAGAACACTCACTAGCAACAGCACTGCCGCTGCTCTGGCCTATGAAGTGCAGGACGTGGTTCCCGGGGCGGGGGTTCTAAACAGAAGAAATCAGATCAGGCATGCCCCAGGTGATCAAAAGGATGTTCCAGCTTCTTTCTGACATGGGATACACTGCCACCAAGCATGTACCATCTGACATACTGTCTCAGTTACTTTTCTCTCATTGCTGGGACAAAATACCCGAAACCTAAGATGAAGGAAGGAAAGATTTATTTCAGTCAGCTTGTGGAGGTTTCAGTCTATACTCAGCTGGCTCCAAGGCACAGTGGCACATGGCAGAGGGCAGCAGTTCATGGTGGCAGAAAACAGCAAGGGCAAAAGGAAGGAGCAGAGGCAACAGAGAGCAAGCCTGTCTTCCTTATGCTGCATCCAGGCTGTCCACCCCCGGCCAGGTGTAGCATGCACCCCACAATCCCAGCAGCATGCACACCCATAATCCCAGGGGATCATGAGTTAATCACAAACTCTAGAAGTCTGCCCCCTGACTTACGTTAGGCTTTGGGGGGACTACTAGACACAAACCATAACACATACATATCCTCCTACCGGTCCCCAAGGATCCCGAGACGTTCTAAGGGCACAGGGCAGGAGCGGACTTCAAATCCATAGTAACACTACCATTTCTGGGTCTTCTATGTTGCAAAGATGACTTACGGCCTCCAAACCATCTTCACTTATGTGGAATACAAATAAGACAAAATGAAAATAAAGCAGGGTAGGGTGGGCAGAAACCAGGTGAACTGAAATCGGCCACCAGCACCCCCTCCATGAGCTCAGGATGGAGCAGAATTTCCTTGATGTTAACTCATATTTTAAAAATTATCTTCTCTAAATAAAATGTTGGTCTGGCTGGGCAAGAGGTGGCCCGATGTGGGGGTAGATCAGTGTGTTGTGGGAGTTCTGGGGGTGTCAGCCCTCAGACGAAGATTCCAGATGTGTAGGTGATGTAAGCATAATGGTACAGCAGTGACACCAGACACGTGTGATGCAAAACAGCGTGAGAGGCACTAAAATCCGTATACCATGGCGCTGTCTTGGACTGATGCTACACACGACCCCGCCCCCAAGCCGCGACACCCCTAACGGGAAACACATCAACTTGCCATCGCTACCAAAAGACCTGGGGTCCTTCCTGTTGTTTGTTTGATTTTAATGTTCAATTCATTGTGGAAAGGTGCTTTGGGGGAAATTCAATCAGAAATAAACTACTAAACCAATAAATACAATTAACAAGGTCATAAAAAAGTATAATCAAGACAACCTACCAGCCGTGGGTCAAAAGGCCTCAGAAGTCTTCTACAGACTATGCTGTCCCTGTTAGAGATGGGGAGACTAAGTGACCCGCCAGTCATAGGGCCAGTCCGTGGCAGTGAAGAGTGGGGCTGCAGTGATTCTGTGCGTCAGGGGAGCAACCCACCCCAAGCGGTCCTCCTCTGTCGGAGCCTGGAGCAGCACAGAGGAAGGTGAATGGCGCAGCCACCTTGGGCAGAAAATGTACCAGGGTGCCCAAAATGCAGCCATCAAGACAAATAATATTGTCATGCCATGTGTTTCTTAAAAAATTAGGGTTTTTCACAAAGGTAAGTGCACCCTGGAGCTTAGGGCAAAAGGCAAATTTAGTAACAGTATCTTGAAGATTTTGATATCTTTGCTCACTGTAGACTTTTACTGCATTAGTTTTGAGACAGTCACAGGTAGGGCACACTCCAGGGGTCACCATGTAGACAGCCTTCCCTGGGCATGTCACAGGTAGCCACTGGATGCACACCCAGTCGGACAAGAAGGTGGGGAGGTGGTATTCAGCAAGGTGCCCCAGAGTACAATAATTACTATGTTCTTTCCATTCAAGGACTCCACTGATCAGGAGACGTATGATTAGTTTATTAATCATCTTTCCAGAAAGAAAAACAGAACTGGTAAGCTGCTTCGGACATCATCCATAGGAAGCATTCGGATTTCACAAATAACAACATATGGGCCAAAAATGTTAACATGCCAGCAAGGGAGTCCAGTGTTTTGGTTGCTGTTTGGGGCTTGTTTTGGCTTTTTTGAGACAGGCTCTGGTTCTATTGCCCAGGCTGGTCTTGAACTCATGGGCTCAAGCAAACCCCACTTTACCCTCCAGAGTAGGGACCCTGGGCACCAACAAAATGTTTTCATGTAGCATTTTAAGGCACTAAAGTCTGCACTGCAGCAACGCAAACTCAAAGGACACATTATTTTATTGATGAAGGACTGTACTAGTTACACAAATCGATAAACAGAACACGTTCTAACCCTTGCTAAAAACAGCTCCACAAAGCGTGTAGCATCAGGAATCTAGTGGGGACCCCCTTAGGAGTCGGCCCCAAGCACTCTGCTCCCCACCAACCTTCTTCCTTCTGATCACCATCTTTCCTTCCCAAACAGCTCCCACCAAATGGTGTCTCAAGCACCCTGGGAAATCACTGTGACAGGGATTAACATTTTACACACTTGACGCTTCAATTAGGTACCGAGTTTTAGTGGCAGTGGGTGGGTGCCTTGGGCACTTATACTAAATCCCATACACTGAAGATTTACCTTAAAAAAAATTTTTTTTAAAACAGCAATCTGAGCATTTTTGTGGAATTAATGTGGTCTTGAGTCTTGGGTCGCCTGAAATCCTTCAACAAGGAGCCATCCAGAAGAAACCAAAAAATTGGGTCATGAGGGCTGCTAGCTTGGTGACCCTAATGAGGTCCCTGTAGAAGGCATGAGTTGCTTCCAGGCACTGGTCCAAGGCTGGGGGACCTTGCAGTCTGGCGTCATTTTGGGCTGGACAGCAGGGGAGGAAAAGGCACACCAAAGCCACCTCTAGGAACCAGGACCCCCCCCCCCAAGTTCTCTTGGGTCGGAATCCCCTCCCTCGCCCCAGGCGTGCCCTTTGCCCAGGGCGCGATCCTGCTCCGAGGTGCGAACCGCTGCACCTGGTGTCCCCAAAGCGATTGCTGTCGCGTTTTTTCTCTGGCTGGCCTCCCTGCATTACTGATTTACCCAGAGACACTGAGCTGACGTCAGCATTCAGACAGCCTGAGTAACCTTTGGCGTCACCCGGTCCTCAGAAACGCAGCGGGCGAGGAAGCCAACCCCACTAGCCCACCTTGGCTAAGGCCCAGGAGCAGAGGTCACACCTTGCTGGGGCTCACTGGGGGTGGCAGTGGGGCGCTGGAGCCAGGTCCGAAGCCCACCGCAGGGGAGAGCAGCACATGCAGCTCCCCCCACTTCCTCCCGCATTCTCAAGAACTCTGCGTTTTCCGCGGCTCGGGGACGCGCACTTTACCGCCGACCCACTGCGCAACTCCACGAATCTGAAAATCGCCGGGCGGGTGGGGCGAGGAGCCCGAGCTCACACAGCTACACAGACGCGTCCGGCGGCCCGGAGGGACCAGCAGGGGTTTGGTTGTCCTCGAAACAAGTGCTGGTCCACGCGCAGTCCACCGAGACCAGGGCCCCCACGCCGCCAGGTCTGTGGCGGAGACCGGCTGTATGCGCTGTTTGTGGGTAGGGCCTACGCACAAACACTGGGAGGGGAGATAGCACAGGAAGCCGCTTCCAGAGTCCCGCAGCCGCCTCGGGAGCGGGACCGTGCCCGGGGACCCGGGGGCGGCGGGATCGCGGCTGTGGCGCCGCACGCCGCGCACTTCCTGTAGAACGCGCACCGCCTTCCACCGCCCCGCGCGCTGGGAGCCTGCGTCGGTGCCAGGCCCGGCCCCTGGCGGTCGCTCCTCTGCCCCCTGAGACAGTGGCGCGGCCCAGAGCGGGCGCCCGGCCATCCTGGCCCCACGGGGCTCCGGGCGCGTCCTGCCGCGGGCAGGGCCGAGCGATCCGCAGCCCGAACTTGCGCCCGCAGCCATGCAGTAGCCCAATTGCGAGGAGCTTTGCCTTTGCACCTCCTCTTCCCCTCCTGCCCTCCCTCTCGCGCGGAGGGGACCGCCCCGGTTCCAGGCTCCAGGCTGCTTTATTCTGTGGCCGAGGGTCAGGCACTCAAATACGGGCTGTCTCACGCCCTCCACCTAGACTTAGGCGCCAGAGCTCGGGCTTCCAAATTGTTGTTTTTAATTGCACCTGCCTCGGACATTACCTCCGGGAAGCTGTGGGAGGAGCCAGAGGGTGGAAAATGCTGCCTCGCTTTGCAAAAGGAAGAAAACTTTGTCACCCTGCAGGAGACCGCTGCCACGCGTAACCAGCACAAGCGCGGGCTTGGACTCCGACTTTGCACCCCGTGGTTCCGTAGGAGAAAGTGGGCGCCGGATTCCGCGCTCCCAAGATTCCAGCCCCTGGGTGGCGTGGCGCGAGTTCCCCGCTCCACCTCCTCCCCGCGGAAGTCCCCACGCGGTGCCTCCGCAGGGGAAATACAGCTCTAAAGAACGCGTGGCTCGGGAGCAGCCCCAGCGGCCGGCCGAGGCAGAGAGGGCACCGAACCCCGGGGCGAGTCCCGGGCTTAACTTCTGGTTAAAGTTATGGGAAGCGCGGCCATGGACACCAAGAAGAAGAAAGAGGTTTCTAGCCCTGGAGGGAGCGGCAGCAGGAAGAATCCCAGTCAGAAGAGGCGATCGCTGCGAGTGCACATTCCGGTGAGTCCCAGCCCTGCGGCGACTGCGCCCCGCGGCATCTAGGTGGTTAACGCGGAGCGCGCCGCGCACGCCCCTAGCCTGTCCCTACCGCCTCGGCTGCTGGGGGAGGGGAGCAGGACGAGGCGGGAGTCCGGCGGCAGATCTGAGGCTGGATCACTCTCCTACACTCGGGCTAAGGGGTTGGAGACTGCCGGGCAGGGGCGGCGGCCGAGGAGCGGGGCCGCGGGGCGCGCTCCCGGGCCGGGCGCGGCTGGAGCCCGCTGGGCGTGGCCCGGGAGCCTGAAGGGTGCGAGTGAGCGGGGCGGTGCGTCGGGTTGTTTTGCAGAAAAAGGACTTAGTGGACTGAGCCGCACGGAGGAGACTGGAGAGGGGCTGCAGAGCTGCGCCCCCAGGTGGATCCATCTCCCCAGTAATTTTCTCCTGTGTGTTTCTGGGTCCTTAGAGGGGCCTCCATTGCAGCCACTCCCTTCTCTCACTCCCTGGAGCATGTTTTGGGCCTCTCTGGTATCTGAAGGTTGGGGCTCCTTAATCCGTGCAAGGCTGCAGCGAACTTCAGCCCCGGCCACGCCAGCAGCTTAGGGTGGACTTCTGGCGGTACTGATCGATCTACAAAATGACCTTGTCCAACCGGGAGGGGAGCGACTGGCAGGGTCCTGGGCCCACCCATCAGGACCTCAAAGCCTCTTGTCCTCGCCTTTTGCAGCAGGGTGGGTGGCGGGAGGGGCCCGCAGCGCTTATCTAGACTGCAAGGGACCCCTCCCCCCTACACCCTCCCCCGTCACACCCTCTGCGGTGACCAACCCAGTATACGCTTGGCTGAACACCACACACACGCTGGCACACCCCCAGGCGCGCGTGCACGCTCGAACACGCCCACTGCGCGCGTGCACAGACTAGAAGACTCCTTGGGGGAAAGTGTGTTCTTTTTCCTCCATGGTGGGTCAGGACTGGACAGGACCGAGGTGTGCAGCGCGCTCCCTTCTCTAGGGCTTCGTGGATGCCTCATCAAAGCTAATCCTTTCCGACAGCCACAGCAGAGCTGGCATGTGGTGACTCAACTGCAAAGAGCACTAGGCATTTTCCTCCTGCGCCTTGCTGGGTGAAGCCCTTCCTTCAACGCCTTTCCCAAGATCCTCCTGCTCAAATGTCCCCTCCCTGTGGGTGCCTGTTATCACCTGGTGCAGAAAAGGAGGTCCAGGAATTGGGGTCCAGCCATCTAAAGGGGACTCAAGGAGCCAGCCCTCCGTGTCCCAGTGGGAGTCCAGGGATCAGGTGACTGGATCCTCTGGCTGCCATGTGGCCCCCATGATGGCGAGATGCAAGAATGAGGCTTTGGTTTGGAAAGCAGAAAAGTTATATGTTACGAAACTAAAATCTCTCTTTAACAGTGATCACTTGCTCACTTCACGACTCAGTTTCTCACACGTCAAATGGAGAAAATACTCGCTTTTGCCTGCCTCCTTACAGGATGTTGAAATAAAATAATTTGTAGGAAAGGGCTTTACAATTTTAAGTGCAATATTCATGGGTGACTGTTACATAGATGCCACAGCACCAAAATTGCAAGAGGAGACAGAGGAGGGGGAGAGAAGAAGTTGGTGGCCATGCTGTCCTATGGATGAGCCACATTGTGTCGAGGCCATATAGAGCAGCGAGTCCCAAATGCCATGTGTGTGTGTGTGTGCATGTGTGTGTGCACACCCTGGTGGCATGTAGGCTATGGGCCCATGCTAGTGCTAGTGTAGGACAAATCCAGAACTGGGTTAGGAATTGAGAGCACTTGTCAAAAACTTGCCTTGTAGTTGGGGCACTGTGGCCACCTTGCAGCCAGAGGTGACACCGGCAGCTTTTTACAGTGTTCTTGGCATGATGCCGTCCTTCCTGAACGTAGCACTCATTCCACAGTGGTTAACCAAGTGTCACCATGTGCCCTGTGCTCTCCTTACACTGACATCCGGGGCTGGGAACGGGGATCCTGTCCTGGCCCTCATGAGGCTTGTGGCTGCTGGTGGGACCAAGGTGTCACCCATCTCCCACCTACTCCCATAATTATCTATCGTGCCTGAGAGTTGAAGCCAGGAAATGACTCTGGGGTATGAGATGACAGCGGCCGCTCCGCGTAGAAGTGAGAGCAGGAACTGTCCGGGAGCCTGTGTGCTTAGTCTTCAGCTCCTGAGGGAGAGATACACCTTGCAGTGCAGCAAGAACCTGCGTTTCCTGCAGGGCCGGGCTTGAGGACCAGATGACTAGGGAATGGATTGATTTGGATTGAGGCCAGAGCAACAGGAGCTTGAGGGAGGGTTGCCAGATTTAATAAGTACAAATACCAAATCCCAGTGAAATTAGGATTTCAGGTGAATAGCAAACCATTGGTTAGCGTGTGTCCCATGCAGTGTTAGGGATAGACTTACACTGTCCATCATTTCTGGGAAATCCCAGTTTTGCTGGGTGTCCTGTGTCCTCTCAGGCAAGCCTGCCTTGGAGCTGGCCCCACACATGAGGAATTCCACCCAGAGGCACGGAGAATGCTGAGTTTGGTCAGAGCTATGGCGTCGTTGAAATAGGGGCAGCTAATCTAGGGTGAAATCACATATGATTCCTCATGCCGCATCCTGACAATGCCATGTCCAAAGGTGGCTTGCATTCCAAGGAGTTGTCCGGAAAGACGATGAGTGTGGTGGCCCTGTGAGTGCAGTCATTTGGTATGCCCAGCAGCATTTGGGTCTCAAGGCCGCCAGGGCTTCTTGTGTCCACAGCCTTTTCCTTCAATTGGATTGAGCCCTTTTGGGGACCCAGGTTCTACCCCGTATCTGGTGCAGAGGAGGATGGTGGTTTCCAGTCTTGGAGAAATCACTGAAAACCTGCTCCCGTGGGCTGGGATCATCTTCAGCATCTTCACCCTGCTTCCTGCCCATGGCCCCGACTGTCTTGAGTGCCTGGAAAGCAGACTCCACTTTAGGGGCTGCCCCAAGACTGATGAGCTGTAGCATAGAGGATCAGAGAGACCTCGAATTAGCAAATAACTCAGAAGTCGAGCTAGATGAATGGCTGAGTACCCAGGATGGGTCCAACTGAGAGTGCCGCCCTGCCTGGCATTAGCCTCATTATCACCCAACATGAGTCACCAGCACAGCAGACCTCTAGGGGCTCATGGGTGTCCTGGAGGATCAGAAGAGAGGACAGGTGGGTGTAAGTTCCAATCTGAGGCTACATTATAATGGCGTAAACAGGCACAGTGGTTGGAGCTGTGCCGTGCCATTCTCTTGGCTTTGCTTTCTTATTCCCTGATGCAAAGGAGGAATAATAATGGATGTGGTGGGAATGGTTGAGAAAGTGAATCATTGGAAGTGTGTCTCGGCATGGCACTCTGCCAGTACTTTGGAAGCAAGTGTATTTTTCTTCTTCTTTTTTTCTGTCTTAGCAAAAGCAGCTTCCACAGGATTGCTGAAATCCATGCATCTCATAGACACATTTTAATCAGTGGCTTTTGGCTGGCATATCATGGTCTTTGGAATTGTCTACAAGCCAGTGACAGGAATGACAGACAAGGGGAAAGGGAGGGGTTCCAAGGGAAGGACCAAGGGCAGAAACCTGTGGGGACACTGAGGCTGGCAGAGGAGTTCAGCTCTTCCCTGCTGAGTAGGGCACTAGTGACAGAATTCACGTGTTCCTGGCCTCTTGGGAAAGGAGATCCAGAAATCCTTCAGTCACTGGAGACAGACTAAAAATAGAGCCAAGGACAGCTGGTCGGTCCCAGAAGGTTGTAGAGACCCAATGGGCCTGGGCAGTCTGTTGCTCGTGGTGTCCCCACCTGCTGCGTGTCTGCCAGGGATGCCACAGATGCTGGAGGTCACGGTGCCTCACTGGTGCTCGGCTTTCTCAGATAAGGGTGGGAAGGGGCTGCATTCTAAGCCCCCGGGGCCAGAGGACTCAATGACGGTATGCTCTCTGTGTCATACTGCTGAAACTGCCTGGAAGGGAGTTCCAGGGAAGTAGGGACACTGGGGATACCGCAGAGTGCAGGGGTCAGTTTTGACCTTGGCCTTGACTTTGGTTAGCGTGTATAACCTTTTTGTTGGGTTAGGATTCAGTCAGCAGTTTTCAAAATGTGGTCCCTGAACCAGCTTAAGTAGAATCACCCAGAATTTGCTGAGAATATAAAATTCGAAGTCTCAGCACAATATAAGGCATCAGAACTGCTGAGGGTGAGACTCATCATCTTGTGCGTGTATTAAATTCTTCAGGGAGTCTTAGGTCTACTGGGGCTTAAAAGGAGTCGATTCCCAGCTTCGCTAGCATAATACTGATTCATTCCTTCCATGAACTATTCTTTCTCTTTTTTTCTGTCTGGCCTGGTCTGGTCTGGTCCGGTCCGGTCCGGTCCGGTCTGGTCCAGTCTGTCTGTCTGTCTGTCTGTCTGTCTGTCTGTCTGTCTGTCTGTCTAACTTTAGATTCAAAGCTTTCCTCTAGAGTGTGATGTGTTTCAAAGAAGACTTACTCACTGGGGGCTGTGCTCACCCGTGGGCCCCTCTGCCTGGATTTCGTGGCTGATGTGTTCTCAGGGGGCGGGGTCTGGCCAGGGGAAGACCATCACTGGGGGTGCAACCTTAAAGCCTGTATTCCCGTCCCTGGCTCCTCCACTCTCCCTCTGCCTCCTGGCTGTCCTGGGGTGAGCACGTTTTCCTCCCCGCAGGCCCTTGTGCTGTGCCATTTCTGCCTTGAAGCCAAATGACAAGACCTGAATCTTCTGAAAGCTGTGAGCCTGCTGGGGGTATAGCTCAGTGGCACAGCGCCTGCCTGGCAAGCGCGAGGTCCTAAGTTCAATTCCTGGTACTAAAAAAAGAGTAAAAATACTGTGAGCCAAGATAAACCTCTCCTCAATTAAGTTGTGAGCTTTAGGTATTTTGTACCAGTGACAGGAAAGCCAACTAAAACACCATTCATTATTTATCTAGTACATTGTTTATGTCTATTCTTCCATGATCTACCTTGGTTCAGCT